GAACACACTTTCAAATTTAATCTACATTATTAACATTTTCTACATCGTTTTCTTAAGCCTAAATAATCAACAAAACAATCAAGCCCTGATTTTTAGCATTTGCTGATGTCCTGGGTGTAATAAATGGCTTTTCTGAGACTAACTGGAGCTGGGTCTATCACAATCGTGTGAGTAGGTATGATTTTATTCTTTGTACTTGTATCTCTAGTGCCCAGCACAATGTGTGGTATATTTTATTGTTGTTCAGTTGTTTCGGTTGTGTCCAACTCTTCATTACCTTTTTGGCAGAGATACTCGAGTGGTTTGCCATGTCCTTTTCCAGCTCATTTTACAGATGAGAAAACTGGGGCAAACAGGGTTAAGTGACTTGCCCAGGGTCACACAGCTAGGATCTGAGGCTGGATTTAAACTTCAGGTCCTCCTGACTCCAGGGCTGACTCTTTATCATACCACCTGGCATATAGTAGGAGCTTAATTGACTGACTGATTGAAGTATGGCTACAAAAACCAATATCCACATGTAACTGTAGGTCATGTGACCTATAGTCCTTAGCAAGGCAATTTTAGGACCAGTTTTTGATTTGAGCTAATAGCAGTTATTCTCAAAGGTAATGTTTTGAGATATTTTTTTTTTCCTGCTGGGACTTGAAGCTGGCAGAAAGTCTTTGCTCAGGAAAAGATACCTATTGCAAATTCATGTCCTAAACATTATGCTATCCTTCAGCCATGATGTATTGCCTCTAACACCTGCCTATTAACAACTTAATATTACACTCTGACATGATTCACAATGTATTATGTGGCAGGCTTGGATATTAAACACTTCAATAAACAAAGACAAGATGTACCATATCACTCTGCTGAAGATTAATAACTGTATTGTGCATTAGCATAAATCATGCCAGCAGAGGATACTCTGAAAGGAGACTGAACTACTCTCTCATCTTAAAAGGTGATTTTTTTTCTTTTACCCATTTCAGTCAATGATGGATTCAGATATTCCTTCTCTAGCAGAGGATAATAATAGCATTTATATAGCACTTTAAGGTTTACAAAGCACTTTACATGTGTTATCTCATTTAATCTTCACAACAATCCTGGGAGGTAGGTGTTATTCTTATCTCCATTTTACAGATGAGGAAACTGAGGCAGACAGAGGATAAGTGACTTGCCCAGGGTGACACAGTTAGCAAATGTCCGAGGCAAGATTTGAACTCAGGTTTTTCTCACTCCAAATCCAGAGCTCTAATCACTGCACCCCCTAGTTGCTTCTCAATAGACAGAAGACACCATTATAGCAGGAAAAAAAGTCTGAGATTCATGAGAATTGGATGTTAGTCCTAGCCCTGAAACCAATAAATTAACAAATTTGAGGCAAGCATTTCACTTTAACTTTTTTAGGTATGAAATGAGGGGCTTAGACTATATTTATGAGTTTATTCCCAAATATGGAAAGGGTGGTACAGTTTCTGTGTGGATTCTAGGTTAACCTAGAATCAAGGACCTTTTAAGGGCTGGGGCATAGCAATAGACGTCCCGTCAATAATGATTTTTATGTAGAAAGTTTTTAATGGAAAGGTGAATAGGTAACACTTAGGTTCATAAGACCTAATATTGAAAACTACCTCCAGGATCATCCAGTGCAACCCTCTCATTTTATAGATGAGGAAATTGAGGCCTAGGGAAATCAAATGATTTTGTCATAAAGTCACACAGATAGTAAGCGTAAGAGGCAGCATTTGAACTTAGGTCCTCTAATTTCATAGCCAATGCCCTGCTCTCTGTCTCCTCCCATAATGTTCCATGGTCCTACCATAGTTTCTAACAATCATAGTATGGAAAAGGAAGAACACTGTCAATAGACCAGGTAAGAGATGAATGGTGAGCTAGCCTGGCTGTGGCATTAGGGATGGGGAGGAAATGGATAGATATGAAGGATACCGTGAAGGGAAAAAGCAACAGGACAGTAAAACTTCATTATAAAGGAGTTCTGCATACTATGGGCTACCCATAGTATATTCAACTCAATTAAATTCAACTAACACTTATTAAGTACCTATTAAGTACAGGGTACCATGCTAGATGCTGGAGATAGAAAGATGAATTCAGACATAGTCCCTATCTTTAACGGAACTTGTATTCGAGTAGCAAGACAAGAAACATGAAGAGTTAAATTAGACAATAATGAGTTCAAAGGGGAGTGCCATGTCAATCTGAAGAGGAGGAAATTGGTAGGGAAATCAGAGACTGCTTCATGGAGAACGCAGGGCCTAATTTAGGCCCGAGAGCAAGGGGAAGGGAGAACGCCATTCTGTCCTCGTGGGTGTCAAGGCCAATGGAACTTGTTGCAATGCTTTCCATAATTTCTGGTCTTTATGGTACAATTACCTTTCTTTGTTATGTGGGTAAAGATAGAGTATNGGCCTAATTTAGGCCCGAGAGCAAGGGGAAGGGAGAACGCCATTCTGTCCTCGTGGGTGTCGAGGCCAATGGAACTTGTTGCAATGCTTTCCATAATGTCTGGTCTTTATGGTACAATTACCTTTCTTTGTTATGTGGGTAAAGATAGAGTATACTGCTTAGAATTCTGTAAACTGCACGTGCTATCTGTTCTTACTCTGAAGACTGCAAATGAATCACTATTGCTTGCTCTAGAATATAAACGTGCATACACATATTTGCACAGAGCTATGTTAATAAGTAAGGTCTTCCTAGGATCTTTGTGTACTTAAAGCTTATTCCTCTTCCCCTGTGGAATCTGAATTGGTATTTAATATGTTCAGCAATGAGGAAGGGGAGGGAATATAAGCACCCCTATAAGGCCTTTGCTATTTCACTCAAGAGAATAACATAAAACCATTTTCCTGGAACTTGCCAGATAACGGGCACGTATCCTGGAAGTGTTCATTGTTTCTTGCCTGTACCTCTAAAACAAGCCAACAAGGTCTCTCCTTCTTTTCTCAATAATAACAATAGATAAAATGTCTACCTGAGTCCAGATGGCCCCATATCATTTGTCATCATAGATAAGCCACTCTGTGTTGCTCTCATTAGCTAATTTTGAGTAAAAACAAGGAAAACTGCAGTCCTTACTCTTATCACCTCAATCAATATCTGTGCTCATCAATCTCAAAGTGTAGATTTGGAAGTAGAAATAGCAGATTAAGACCTTGCTCCCCACCAGTCACCATCTTGGAGAACTCAAAACGGAGGGAGTATCTCTAACACATATCAGAGACAGGTCTTTTTCCAAACAAAAAGAACAAAGCTGGGGAGCCATGTTTGGAAATGATCATACCACTCTAAAGTGAGGAATTCTACAGTCT